CAGATATATGAAAAGGAGCTCAACATCAGCAATCATTAGGGTAATGCAAATCAAAACCATGATGAAACATCACCTCACACCTGTTAGTATTGTTATTTTCAAAAAGATAAGAGATATCAGATGTTGGGACGGATGTGGAGAAAAGGGAATCCTTATCATCGTTGATGGGAATGTAAATTAGTATGCTATTACAGAAAACAGTATCTTGGTTCCTTAAAAAATTAAAAAGAAACTTCTAGTTATAAAATAAGTAAGTCTTGGAGATGAAAAGATGAGCACCTTTATATGGTGAGCACTGAGTAATATACAGAACTGTCAAATCACTATTTTGTGCAAAAATATATATATATACACACGCACACAAGATACATATATATTATAAAAAACATATATATACACACGTATATGTACATATATATGTATATATATATATACACACACACAAAGGAATATATAAAGGAAACTACCATATGATACAGTAATCCTACTTCTGTGCATATATCTAAAAAATTTAAATCAGTATCATGAAGAATATCTGCATAGCCATGTTCATTATAGCATAATTCACAATAGCTAAGACATGGAATCAGCCTAAATGTCCTTCAGTAGATCAATGGATAAAGAAAATGTGGTAGCCTCAATAGAACAGTATTCAGCCATAAAAAAGGAAGAAAATCTTGGCATTTGTGACAGCATAGGTGGACCTGGATGGTATTAGGCTAAATGAAATAAGCCAACCACATAAGCTAAGAGAAAGAAAAATACTGATGGTATCACTTATATGTGGAATCTTAAAAAAAAAAAAAAAAAAAAAGCTGATTTTTAGAGAAACAGCAGAAGGGAGACAAGGGAAATGGGGTGATGGATGTCAAAGCTTAGAAATTTGCATTTATAAGAAAAATAAGTTCTGAGAATAATATGTAACAGCATGGTATTGTATAACTTAAAGTTACTAACAGATCTAAATCATTCTCACTACAAACACACACACACATAATTATCAGAAGTGATAAATGTGTTAATAATCTTGATCTTGGTAATCATTCCACAGGTTTATGAATATCAAATAATCATGTTGTACACTTCAAATATTTATGATTACATTCATCAAGTATTCCTCAAAAAAAGTAAAAAATTCTAACCTCAAAAACAGTATACTGTTAATAACATTGAAATTGTTCAATAATTTTAGCGAATTGTTTTATAGTTATATATGTTTGATAAAAACAATATCTCAAGTTAAAAATAACAACACTATTTTCATCATAGTTTAAGTTTAAATCTCAACACACACATATATGAATACACAGATGCGCAAGTATGTATAAAGTTAAGTCACTTGGCATACACATATGAAACATTTTAGATTTTTACAAAGAAATAAAGGATGTTTTATGTTTTAAAATTATATGAAAAAGGAGAATATATAACAAATTCTATATTAACAAATATATTAATCATAAGGCAGAATATGCCTAATATAAAAGTAAATAGAAATATAAAATATTTCTAAGTATTGTGTGTTTTGAGTGATGGTTTTTTTTAGGGTTTTTTTTAACTTTATATTTTTTAGTATTTTTCTACAAAAAGAAAATAATTCTTTTGAAATTAAATAATTGTATATATAAAGGCAAAATAGAGAGTATATATTTTACAGAACGTCATCTCCAAATGGAATCAGAGAGAATAAAAAGGAACTCAAGCCTTGGGTAACTAACAGTCAGTAGGGCCTCACTTCTTCCTTTAACAGAGAATGTTTACTACTACCTCTGGCAGACTTCCAAATCAAAAGCCAGTTCTCAAACATTAATAAGAACATTGAATTTATCAACATGTCTGACAATTGTCAGTACATGCCATTATTTTTAAAATATATTTGAAGTGTTTCAGCAGCACTCATTGCTTCTTCAACGTCTATCTTTAATAAAAACCATCAAATCTATTCAAAATTGAACAGATTTTCAGGGAACTTACTTGAAACAGAATCCTCTATTACTCATCTCTGAGTTCAGCAAACTATTACCAAAGATATTCTGTGGGTTCATTTTCAAAGGTGCAGGTAGTCACATGCCCTTTGAGACTACATATATGAATTTCTACTATGTACCACCATGACATATCTATTTCTGTATGCACATATGTATATACACATGTCTATATGTATGTATGTATTCATTTACTCATTCGTCATATGTTTATGTAAGACCTAAAATGAACACTGTTGATGTAGTAGTAGGCAAATCAGATGAGTGAATGCTATGAAGATGAATGAATGAATATTGTTTCACAATGGAAGCTGAAAACACTAAGGTCTCACTTGTTTTGCACGGTTACATGACCATGTTTGCAGAAGCATCTTAAAAAATTCTTCTCTCTTATAAAAATTATGAGACTGAAGGGCAATTGCCCTTTCCTTTTTTCTTCTTCAACTTTGTACAAAATTGGACAAAGGCAGCATATAAATCTTTAACCACTATCATACACAATGAGGGATCAAAACTTAGAATCTAAGTCAGTAGGTTGAGGATCATGATATGGAAAGGTAGAAAAAATACAAACAGTTGGCCTTGTTGACATTGCTTAGTTACTGAATAAGCTAAAATGTGTCATGTTTATAGACGACTCATTATCTCATTTAACAAAACTCTTGCTGATAAACTGCACTTTAGAGTGTATATGCTGAAGGAATTCTAATTTATGCAACCTCATGGTCATACACAATTCACCTGATTTCATATATAAGTGCTTCTTTCAAAGAGACAAAGACTTACAAATAAAGTCTTATTTTCAAGTCATAAAGATTTTCAACAAAACCTGATTTTGGTAATTTCTGAAAGTTGATACATTACTAATGTATATTCAACAACTGGTTTATTATGAAGAAGTAAATCACTGAATTATTGGATCTTTTCAATCACTTCTCCCAAATATTCTTCAATTTGGGAAATTAAATTAAACAGGTTTAAAAAGCTCACATGACTTATCTTTACATAAATTTCTCAACCTGCTACCTAAAACTTGTCAGCTCTAGGGATCTTGGATCTGTTTTCTTACAGTCCTGATATTATTCAGTTAAGCTAATTCACAGAGAACTAGAAATTTCTGTGCAAATTAACACACACACACATGCACAGACACGCACACTTTTTTTTTTTTTCCAATTTCAATTATTTACTGTTGACGACTATGAAAAGGTAAGGCCAACCTGAATATAAGAGTTAAAATACTCGGAGCTCGAGTCTCAATATGAAAGATTAAAGGCAGATAGACAAATGCCTTGGATTTATACTTTTATCTACTTATCACATAAAATGAACAGAGTAATGAGAGGCAGGGGTCTATAAACATTAATGAGAATTAATTCACATTTTTCTTGTGTGTTCAGGAAATATGTTGTTGTAAATGAGGTAAAAGAAATGGAAAGTAGCCTATTCATGTAAGAGCCAATGGGAAGATATGCCCAGATTCATACTTCCCATGGAATGAGTATTTAATAAATATTGGTTCACATAATAGGAACACCTTCCCCTGACTCTGAACCAAAAGTAAAGGGGCTAAGGAAGAGAAATGTGTCATTTGTTTTCACTGGAAAAATTGTAGGTTTTTCTAATATTAAATAAAATGAGACTATCTCTCTTAAACATAAACCTAGCATTTGTAGATCGGGCTGATCATTGTAATGAAAATATTTTTTAAAAATATTACACAAGATATAATTTGCACTTATTATTTATTGTGATAATTAAGCAAGTTATTATTCCTACTCCTAAAAGCCTAGTATTGCATCATCCTACTACATTTGGAAATACACATGTACACACAAGCACAACCACTAAAGACACTTGCCTCTTGGCTCCTCCTGCTCAAGGGAGATCAAAGAAATTACCTGTTTACGTTTCATCTTGCTGCTGTAACAAACTACCATGAATTAAGGGGCTTAAAAAAACACAAATTTGGGGCACCTGGGTGGCTCAGTCGGTTAAAGCATCCAACTTTGGCTCAGGTCATGATCTCACAGCTTGTGGGTTCGAGCCCCGCATCGGGCTCTGTGCTGACAGCTCACAGCCTGGAGCCGGTCTTCGGATTCTGTATCTCCCTCTCTCTCTGACCCTCTCCTGATCACGCTCTCTCTCTCTCAAAAACAAATAAAACATTAAAAAATTTAAAAAAAAAAACAAATTTATTCTCATACAGTTCTGAAAGTCAGAAGTCTGAATTAAATTTTATGGGACTAAGATCAAGGTGTTCATACGGCTGTTTTTCTCCAGAGGCTACAAGAAGGAAATATTTTACATTGTCTTTCCTCCTCCAGCTTCTGTGATCACAACAACCTTTTTACTTAGGCTTTCTTGTCTCACTACGATAAGGACTTGCATGATTACACTTAGATCTTGCCTGGATGTTTTGGAATAACCTTCCTATCTGAAGACCCTTAATTTAATCACCTCTGTAAAATCTTCTTTCCCATAAGGAGTAATATTCACAGCTTCCAGGAATTAGCAAGTAGATATCTTTGGGGGGGGTCACTATTCCATAGTTTGTGGTAGATGTTTATCTATACACAGATGTTGACTGATTGTTGATGAAAATCAATCAACAATGATTAAACATGAAGACTCTTAGTAATAAAGAGATTTATGCAGAGGTCTCTGGAAATCAAGAATGTAGATTAGTGGATCTCATCTCTGGAAACTTAATCTATGCTCTCTTTAATGTAAATATTCTGAAATACAGTATTCCTCAATATTGAATTAAAGTAATTGAAGGTTATGAAGAGACTTTAAATATTTTGGAATGATGCCTACCTTTGATTAAGAATGTACCCAGGAAATGATATCTGCATTTATCTCCATTAATTAAGGAGGCAAGAAAATAAAAACATCTTCAATGCAGTCAAATATTGCACTAATTCTTATGAAAACCCAGAAATTAAATGTAAGCTAAATAATTTATAGTTCATCTATTGGGCTGGTGGAGGGGGAAGGGAGAAAGATGTTTACCTTAAATAATAAATCCTTCTTCCCATAACGAAGCTCCTTCAGCTGGGCTTGGATTTTTTTTGACTGGAAGAACAGAAACATGGATTAGTGCCTTAATTTCATTTATGTTTTCAAACTTGAAGATTAAAATTAGAATAAATGTTGCAGTCAAGCAAAAGCTTAATCTCTGCTTTAGAAGTCAGATATCCAGGTAGTCCAGGCAGGAAGAGAAAAACCAAAGCCTGTGCAAAGGAACCATATTGTTTAATGTTTTTTTGTAGAAATGTTATTTTACATTTAATATTTAATTTTTTTATTTGAGTAAAATTGGCACACAATAGGTGCCATATTGTTTAAAAGGGAATATTTAAAGAAAGTAGTTTATCGTTTCTCTCCCTAGTATCTCCCCACCAAAAGGACGCACGCACACACACACGCGCACGCACACACACACGCGCGCACACACACACACAGAATTTTAGTCACTAGAGCATGTCCAACAATTCAATTTTAGATGCTAAATATACCTATGTATACGTAGAGCTCAGTTTTCACAGCTTAGTTGCAATTACTTATTTTTTAAGATTAAATAGGGATAAATTTAAATTGACAACCAAGTTTGAATTTGTTGTATGTCCAAAGGGAGGGTAGCAAGCAAATGTGACAGGAAGTAAAGAAAGCAGCTAAGATACTGAGGTGATGACTGTTTGCTCTGCAGAAGAAGGCACTTTTTGAGAGGACTATGCTAAATATAAAAAAGTGCCTTATTATAGGGACATTTCTCTCAGCAGACATGGTTGACTACCCTATGGATAGATATCTGGTGAGTCACAGATGATTATCATGCCTTCCTATTTTTCCAGAGCAGATGCAATTTCAAAATTCTAACATGAGGACCTCAGGTATTTGTCTTTGTGTATCTGAAATGACAAGTTTTGATATCTCAGTAGGAGAACACAAATACAAATTGATTGTCATCATCAAATAAAAAATGATAACTGACAAAATAGTAAGAGTTGAAGAGGAATGTAAAATAGCATAGTCACTTTGGGAAACAGTTGGTGGTTTCTTATAAAGTTAAACATACACACACTGTATTATATAGCAATGCTTTCTAGGTATTTGTCCAAGAGAAATTACAATATAAACGTAAATGTTTATAGTATCTTTATTCCTAATAATCAAAAGCTGGAAACGACCTACATGCCCATTAACTGGTGAACAGCAAACATTTTATGGTACAATCATGAAATGCTATAATACTGTTGAACAATTTAATAACATGAATTAAGTACTGAGACATGTAACAGTGTGGCCATATTTCCAAAGCATTATACTGTGTGAAATAACCCACTCATTAGAAGCTATCTTTTGTACAATGCCATTTATATTACATTGTAAAAAAGACCAAAGGAGAGGGACAGAAATCAGATTAGGAGTTGATATTGGATGGGGGGTTGTGGTGGTGATTACAAAAAAGCAAGAGAAAACTTTGAAGATGATGGGAATGTTCTATATCTTTAATATTTGATTTTATCTACATTGACCAAACCCATCCATCTGCAAAGTTAAATGAGATGAATTGCATGTGAATTTATCTCAAAAAAATTAAATGTCCAAAGGGGCTGGCCATAGGACATACTAAACACAAGATCCTCTTTAAATTCCTTTTTATGAAGGTCTTCTTGAACAGATAAAGCCCACTCATATTTTTGAAATATTATAATTTTCAAGGCTACAGTGAATGTATATGAGCCTTTCACTGAATAGACTGCAGCTATACTATTCAGTTTCCTACTATATTCAGAACATGTCTAATGATGTGAGATAGTAGAGTTTGCCAAATGGGAGACTCATAACAGCAAATGTTATGAAGGTGTTATAATTCCTAAATTATTATGTAATGCTTGAAGCACCATCAATTAGAGTAGAATCTTAAAAGTGCTATCTGTGGTACACCACTGCAGTATGTTAGAAACAGTTTTCATAGATATCTCTATCATGAGCCAACTGCATTTCGTGATCTATTGAATCAGGAAGTTGATAAGAAAGAACAAAAATAAAATAAAATGAGAAGAGATAAAGAAAAGGAAGAAAAGACAAGGGAAAAGGGAGAGAGGAAAAATGAAGTGGAGAGAGTGGTGATTTGAGACAGAGAGGAGGAGGGAGGGAGGGAGGGACAGGGGAATGGAAGAAGGAAGGGAACTATGTAGTTAAACTCTATACCCATAAGAAGTAAAGATTTATGTTTTCTTACAAACTAGGCACTACTTTTCCATTTCCATAAAAAAGGCATCCCCTTTCACTTAATATGACTTGATAGTGAAAGTGAAATGCAAAAGCAAATGCATAAGAAGATAAAGAGCCACTGTTTTAGGTGTATGGTTTAAGAATAAAAACTACTTGAAGCCCTCAATTCCCTGAATTTATATTTCTACTTCAGGATTCTACATTTATTATAACTCTGTTCTCCTGGCACAAAATTCCCTAAGTAACCCTGAATAATGGCATTTCAGACACCTCATCTCTCTCGTTACATTAACTTCATTTCATTACATTAACGTCATTTGCTGGTGTGTTCACAGCTACTCTTAATTTTGTGCTACTGATTTCTGTAAAAAATCATTTCTGTGATCTTCTCCAACTTCTAATGCACAGTTGGCTGACATTATCTCCTGCTGTTCCAATCTGATGCCCAAGGATCATTTACAGCCAGGACAGTCTCTTAGGTCAACAACTTTATTTGTACAAACTAATGTTGACCAATACCAATGGGGAATGAGAGATGACCACTACCCGTGGTATGCATGGTTTGCCCATTTTCACTCCTACTCTTCCAAAAAATTAATGCTCTATTTTTAAAGTTAGAGAGGACTAATTTTGACCATTTTGGGTGTTCATTTTAATGCATATTTATAATGAATGCATAGAATATAATTTCAACTTTTATTCATAACTTGAATTAATTATTAAAACATCATTTTCTGTGTTATGCAGTGATGCATTCAGGAACTATAGTAAAAACCTACACATCTTTGTTCTGCACTGAGCAAGAACAGCTAGATTTCTTGAACTTCGTTAAGGTTATTTAGAAATATCTGTTTTAGAAATTTTCGTCACTGTCACTCATCACTTCTCTGCATTGTATATTCCTGCCATCTTCTAACGTTCAGTGAGTTAAAAAGCAAAACCTATCAAAAGATCTGATGAGGGTATACAAAGTAAGAATAAGTACATTTTGGGTGTATGCATTTTATAATCCACATTGATCTAAAACTCCATTGACACTGTATTTTCCTTTTGAAAAGTTAAAATTGTCAGAGGGAAAAATCTTCAAACCATTAAGGTGTTACCATATTTGGGAATATTAGCAATTTTTTAAAACTATAATAACAATTTTATTTCTTTAATGTTTATTATTTTTGAGAGACAGTGAGAGAGAGACAGAGACAGAGAGAGACAGAATATGAATGGGGAAGGGGCAGAGAGAGAGAAGGAGACAGAATCCGAAACAGGCTCCAGGCTCTGTCAGTCCAGAGCCTAACACGGCGCTCAAACCCCAGAACTGTGAGATCATGACCTGAGTCAAAGTTGGACGCTTAAGCAACTGAGCCACCCACACATCCCAAAACTATACTACTGATTTTAAATGTAATTTTACATGGTGATGCCTGTGAGTCATGAAGTGTTCACAAGTCCACAGTAAACTTAAGTTTGTGATAATGAGTGTAAGTAAAATAAAAAGATGGAGAAGGTAAAGACAAAGATGGTAGCCATGATAGAACATTTTAGCTAGTCTCTGAGGTTTTTTCTTTTTTACAATTCAGGTCCGTAAAGTACTTGTTTCATGAAATAATAGTGAAGATGACGGCAGTGGTATCTGTCGTAGACTCCACTGTTTTCAATATTCTGCCTTGGCAAATTAAAACACTGGCAAGCCATTAGGTATCAATGGGATCTGGATATTTATTTATCTATAAAAAGTTTAGAGTCACTGATTTAGAAGGCAAGCTCCTTTTTAGCTTCTAAACTGATAGAGGACATTACTATTTTGTTTTGGTAGTGGTAATACAAATAATTACATCTGTTATCATACACTTTGAAGGTGTTCTTGTGACAGAAAAAAATATATACATGCCTCCCTCTTTGCCCAGAATTTTAAACTCTAAATTATTTTCCATAAATAAATTAAAATAGGTGAAATGAATAAATTTATCTCAACACTATACAATACTAATGTATGAAGAATCTAGGAATTCATAAATTAAAATGTAGATATAATATATCCTCTTAAGGAATTGAGATGAATTTTTAAAATGACTCATTCTTAAACTAAGGGGCTAAAAAATACAGGTAGATATGTTTTCACTGGCATGTGGAACAGGAGAAACTTAACAGAGGACCATAGAGGAGGAGAAGGGGAAAAAATAGTTGGGGAGAGGGAGGGAGGCAAGCCATAAGAGACTCTTCAAATACTGAGAACAAACTGAGGGTTGATGGAGGTGGGGGAAAGGGGAAAATGGGTGATGGGCATGGAGGAGGGCACTTGCTGGGATGGGCACTGGGTGTTCTATGGAAACCCACTTGGCAATAAACTATAAAAAAAGAAAGCTTATTTCAATATAGGTATAAGACACTAAAAAAATAAATAAGTAAAAATAAAAAATACAGGTAGACCCAGATTGTTGTTGCTGCTTGTTTATTGTTTTCTTTCTTTCTTTCTTTCTTTCTTTCTTTCTTTCTTTCTTTCTTTCTTTCTTTCTTTCTTTCTTTCTTTCTTTCTTTCTTTCTTTCTTTTTGTTTGTTTCTAAACAGTATAGGCAACTTCTCCTAACAGCCATCTCTCTTTCATGAGTTTTGGGGGCCCTTTGGGAACATGGCAACTCTCCCAGAATATAGCTCCAATCCACATAGTCTTACTCAAAAATTGGTTCCACTTGCTTACCTTCTTGTAAATAATAACCAGAAACTGCACCTTACACATGCAATATTTCTAGAAATGTAGCAAATTAAACAGTATACTTTTCAATAGAAAAGTATAATGAAAGAAACACTATACTGGCTTATATCTATAAGCCATTCAGTTTGATTATTCATTTATAGAGCATCAACCTTTTATTTCCATGTATTGAAAATTGCTACTTATTTCATGCACAATATTATTGGAGAGACATTATAAACAGGTTCTTATAGTTCATGTTAGAATCTAACTTAACTGTTTAGAGTAATGAATTTTACATGTCCATCAGGAAGTATTCCCACCTTGTTTACCAAAAAAAAAAAAAAAATCCCAACTTTTTGATAGGCACATGACTACCAACCTAATGACACTGTCCAGACTCCATGCAGTTTGGCTAGGCATGTGACCTAGGTCTGGCAAATAGGGCACAATGAAACACGTATCACTACTTCCTAGTTAAGAGTCTTAAAAAGCAATGCTCATGAGTCACCAGGTAATCTTCCCTATCCCTCCTGCTTTAAGGTGATAACAACAGGAAACATTCATCAGAACAAAAAATATGAGTCCACCATTAGGAGATGTTAGAGGTATTTCACCAGCTCTGTGCCTTACTTCTAACTACTATGGGAAAGTGGTTCAACTACATTAAATAGGGGATTATACCACAGATGGAATTGAGAGATCAGGAATATAGGAACTTTATTTTAGTTAAATCAGGATTAACCAGAATGACTTTCCACACCCCACCCTAAGAAATGCATGAGACAAATTTTCTGCCTAGCAAGCAGAACTGAGGAATGTATTTGTCCTTTAGGGTTTATGATCAACCCCCAAATCATTCTTCTGACACTTAACTGTTATTGCAAAACTTTGCAGACATCACATAGATGGTAAAAAAAATGAAAATTTCATGGATCTTCAGATATTTGCTAATAAGGAAATCCTGATAGTCCAGTTAAGGAAGGAAGGAATCCATAAAATCATTTTTGGAAGTAATGGCTAACTAGCTTAATTTTTTTTTTATTTTCTTCTTTCTTTTTTTTTTTTGGTCATGTAATATCAAAACATCCAAAAATACCTAAAGGTTAAAATCTGTTTTAATTTTCCTGTTCCAATGTTTTCATTTTTGTTAGTGAAAGTAGAATCTCCAGATATCTGGATTTTAAAAGAAAAACCTGACACTAATATTCTGGCACTTTCTATTCCATTGAAACTGGAAGAGAAAATTTACTCACCTCTTCTGCATGGATGCCACACAGCTTGCTTCCCGACAGGAGTTTGTTCTTCAAGCTTTTATTCTGGTGAAAGAAACATAGTTCATGGCTGAGAAATTATAAAACATGAACAATTCCTAAATATATAAGATGTAATATATTTGTACAAACTGAGTATAATATGTAATGTAAAAGAATGTTTCTTTGATTCAATTAAAATGTTGATGAATTAGTATCAACATGCACATTTAAAAAGGTAGAAATTTATCTGGCCTTACATTTAATGCAGTTTTATTAAATCTAGGTATGGTATGTTATAAAATAATTTCAGTTTCAAATCTACAATAGATGCTAGTTTCTGAAAGCACAATGCTAAACAGCAAGTATTTTTTTTTTAACATTTATTTATTTTGAGAGGTAGAGAAGAGACAGAGAAAAGGGGGAAGAGGAGAGGAGAGTAAGAATCCCCAGTAGGCTCTGCACGGTCAGTGGTCAGCATAGAGCCAGACACAAGGCTCTAACTAACAAACCATGAGATCACAACCTGAGCCAAAATCGAAGAGTTGGCCGCTTAACTGACTGAGCCACTCAAGTGCCCCTAAACAGCAAATATTTATTTTCCTACTGTCATCTGGATGCTGGACCCTAGTATAATCTAGTCACAGTCTCATCAGGGTCTATAGTCCCTTTTAAGACTATAGTTTTTGAATCCTCTTTTATCCTGGAGAACTGTGCATTATATTTAGAGGGCTTCTTGATGCTTAGAAGTAATTTCTTTTTCTAAGGCTTATAAGTGTACTCTCTCTGCTGGGCTTGAAGTATGCCCAGATATGATAACCCTTTTAACTTACCATAATTGACCTTGACTCATAGATGCATGGTTGTTACTTCTGACATAGAATCCATGTGTTCTTAGCCATCTGAATCTAAACTCTTACAGCTATTCAATTATATCTGCCTCATTATGCTCAGGCTTTTCTGTCTTTGTTCTGGAAAATGAGGTACTTTTAGACAGGGTAAAGGAGAACAGAAATCTTGGGGTGAAACCCTCAGGATTCAGATTTTATATTGACTCTGCAGGAGCAAACCATGTGGTGGTAAGTACCTCTCATGCATAATGACTTTAAAGAAAGTCGATCTGATGAGCACCGTGAGCAAACTGAACAAAATTTATGCAAAATGAATGAATAACAGAATGAATGAATACATCAAATTTGGGAGTTCTTCACTGATAATTCCCACCTTATTTTGAACATTGTTTCCTATTTTATTTTCCAGTCATGCAGAGAGGGGATACAGCTGCCTCGGTTTGAATGAACCCTTTGTCTAATTTTTGGTAGCAAAGAGTTAAAATTCTAAAAAGCTCATTTCCAAAAAGGTCATTTCCTAGAATTTCAATACTATGAAATGGTTTACACAAATGAGGAGTTACCTGTTTCACTCAAGTAAGTTTTGTTTTGTAAATACTTGTATTCATCATACAACAATCAATTCTTTTTAAAAGGCTTTAATATATATTATTCCTCTATTAAAAAGCTTGTAAACTATAATGAGGGGATACATACTGATGTTTTAACTCCACAATGTTACTCATATTGTAGGTTAAAAAAATACCCTAGTTTTCCTTCTGTTTGTGCACAGTTATGATACTTTTGACAAATGCAATCTTAATTTTTTGTCATACAATGGTCTGTTTTTCCATTTTTGATTTCCTGCATTATCTTTGTAGATAAAATGTCTTCACTATCTCTAAAGATTTCATATTCACTTAGATTTTTCATCATTTTTATGGCTATACAGTTTTAGTGGAAAAGACATGAAATTTAAATAAGGTCCACAGTTTGTTGAATAGTATTGTATTAATGTTAATTTTCTGGTTCAATACTTGTATTAGCATGCTATATGATGCTGTATTAGAGGTTATGGGTAGAGATGCACAAGAACATTCTGTACTAATGCAGCATACCCTTTTTCTATGTCAAAATTTATTTCAAAATAAAAAGTTAAATTATCTAAAAAAATAAAATTAAGACTGAGTTGCTTGAAAGCGGGCCAGGCAGCTCTGGCCATCACAGCACACCACTGCCCAGCCAGAGTGGTCTCAGGTGATGGTCAGGAAGTAAGCTGTCCCCTGTGTCACTCACAGCAGGGGTAATAGAGAAGGCTGCTGTGGATGTGCAGAGACCTACGAAGATTAAGTGGAATTTCTGGTGTGCTTTTTTCATCGATTTTCAAGGGGACATCAGCAGCATGGAGGATGAGCACTTCCAGAGCTCTTAGCCATGTCAAGAGGCCGCAGGGAATGAGCCCCTTGAGCCAGAGTAAAGATGTGATCCTGAGGAATGACAGCAATGCGTCATCAGTGATGTTTCTCTTCTCAGTGGACCAAACCACAAGGAGTACCTTTTGCATCTTCTGTACTAACTGCAGCTTGAATGGGTTTGGTCCCGTGGCTGTGGATCAGTATCCAGTGTCCATGGCAGTGACCCCTTCCATTCAGTCTGGCAAGCTAAGGCATTTCCCCTCCCTAGACAGTTCCAGCTTCCCAGATCCTGACTACTCTCACATCTACTCCCCTGGACATGTGGTCCTAAGCCTCACCCGAATGGGAAGTGAGTCCTTCCCAGGTCTCCTCCAGTGTGGCAGATACCTAGTCCATCCTCAGGAACCTGCTGTGTAGGAGGACTGCAATTCTGCCCTGATAGTCGGAAGCACAGAATTGCCCTTCAACCCGTCTCCCAGATCAGCCACTGTAAGAAAATGTATTTCCCCCCAGATCTTGGACCTGCCAGTGCCAGTTTTACAAGTGGGAGGAAAAAAAAAAAAAAAAGCCAGTGTCTAGAAAGAGGAAATCTGTTCTTTTATTGAACTTTGGTTTGAAGGAGAGAGCTCTTTTTTCCCCCCAAATCTGCTCATGATTTGTCTTCCACAGGGCCCACCTGACTTCCATAAACAACATCACCTTTCCTTTAAGCTCTTCACTGTTAGTGACATCTGGGAAATATTAGCTTTCTTTTCAGGACAGCACCATTGGGGATACCCATGTGGATACCCACAACTATTTTAGATAGATTGGAGGTGAAAGATACGGCTTGGTCTATGACATGGCAGCAGGACCTCCCTGCAAACTCTTCCAGATAAAATGATAAATTTCTCCAATATCATTCATCTCTCCAATCTAGTAGATGACATTGCAGTCACTGTGAGCATGGCACTTAGCCTGTGACAACTCAGGAAGCCCACGGTGTCAATGTCCCCCATCCACACACACCCCACATGCTCCTGTGTAATAACTCAGGGGGTGGATGATAAAAATAAGTTTTTTTGGATTAAAAAGTAATAGTAAAATAGATATTAAATTAGATAAGTAAAATTGACACAAAATAGGTGAAGTGTGTTGGATGTGAAGATTTATGTACCGACACACATCATCCATATCTGAGTAACTTCATTAGAAAGGATAATGAAGTTAATAATATATTTAAAATTCAGTGGTCTATACTATTTCAAGTTTGCACCTTCACTTAAACCGTTTTTCCTTTTTTCTTTCTTTCCTTATCTCTTTCCTCCTTCCTTCCTTTTTCATTCTGTTCAATTCAAAGATGATAAAGCAATGAATAGAATGTTATCTCACTGGGAATGCTTATGTTGGTCCTGGACAATGCACCTGAAACTATACAGGGAAGGCTGCCGCTCTTGAACACAGATACCCCTGGGGCCACCCCAAAATGAGCAGTGATTACATTATGCGTCCACTGTCTGTGCTGACAGTTGATAATCCTGGGCAATTGTGTAAAGCGTATAAAGTAATATGCTTCCATTAAGCTCAATGTCATTTCCAAAGCTTAGGAATTAGAGTATTTCACTATTTGAAATATACTCAGAACTAGGGATAATAATTATAATCACTCACAAAGGGGACAATTACAGGACACAAGGGAGGCTTGTCAATGTCCATACTAAAATTGTTCTCAGATGGCACACTCTTCAGAAACATGGATGGCACAAAGCACTGAAGAAGGAATACTGACTCCCAGGCAGTTCAGTTTCCACTTGTGATTAGGGATCATACTTCTTTAACTCCAGAAGGAATCATGTCTTGATACCATTTAGGCATTAAGAACACAGTTTTTTACTGTTTTGTAAGCAGCCTTGTGTTGTTTAATCTACCCTTTAAATAATGGATCTGATCCTTATCAAACCTAATGATGCTTTTATAAGATCTAAAACAAGGTACACATATAATTAGACCCAGGACGTGAGGATCCAATTATGTTTATGCCTAACTTGAGGGAATATGAAGAAAAGTAGATTACAAGAGTCATCATATGTTTAACTATCTGTTCTTTCTGCTTGTCACACTTCTGTTATCCCTTATTCTAATAACCATAATCTGATTTTTCTTATTAGAAATATTTTTTTTCCGTGCTAATTCCATGTGGCTGGCGTGACCCTAACTCTACCACTCTATCAAGGAAAAGGATCAAACTCAAGCCCAGCTAAACTGTCTTGGTACAGATTTGGTAATATAACGTAATCACTGCTGATGAGACACTAATATATTTTATTTTCAAGAATTATGAAGGAAAAAGGTGCTGAGGGTCATCACTAAGTTAGAACACACCAGCCTTCTGAGATTAGACCTAAAATTGGAAAAAGAACACCTGAGTATGGAGAGAGAACTACTGAATCTTGGTGATAGTGTTGGCCCTTCTTCCCTATCTCATACTTGTGAAGCTAGGATACTCCTTGGTGTTTCAATTACATGCTTCTAGCACCAGCCCTTCTGCTCTTTTTAGCTCTTACTATTTTTGAAATCAGAATGCAGTCTACAACACGGTGCACTTTTCCTTTAGTACTTATAGCTCACCCATCTCAAGAAAGTTGTTAAGTCATTTTACAATTGATATTCCTTAAAATTTAAAGATTGTTATTCCAAAATTCTTACTTCAGAATAAGAGGTGAAGAGGTCAATACAGGGACAGTTTTTTCTCCCATTTGGAAAAGCTTAACTGTAGAGAAACTAGGGGAAATAAGAAATGTGTATTTGGCTTTTTTATTTGTTCTAAGCCACATAGAAGACA